TTACGGCGGCTATCGTGATACCAGTCGACATTATTATCATCTATCGCAAGGTCCCGCAGTTCTCGAGAGACTTGGCGTCCTTCTGCCGTTCTTCTAGTTATGGTTGCTTCGAGATTATGTTATGTTTTGGTAGTCACTGCAGAAGCCTCCGACTCGACGGTATGTACTTCACTCTCAGCAGGTTGTTGTGTTGACGATGAAGTTATTTGTAGTTGTTCTGAGTTGCTCGACTTGTGCGTCACAGTGGGCTGGGCTTGTTGGCTAAGCATATCTCCCGTTGTCGATGTTGTCCTTGCGTCTGTTTGGAAATCGACATTCTCGATTTGGAGGAATGTACTACTGTTCGCAGTGTCAGGTGGTGCGTTAGCGGTTGTACATTTGTTGTCTTCCCAGACAAAGAATTCATCTTCGAATATATATGTCTCGGCTTTGTATTAAACGCTTGGTCAGAGGTGAGTATATACGATACGAGTACGGTGTTGTGTCCAAGGGTTGCGCAAGAAGAATGCCATCCAGTGCTTTGTCGTCGAGTTTGCCGTCTAGATCACGGTTCTTGTATGCGATGTGACACCCGAATGTTCTGAATATATCTATCGGAAATGCATATCCTGTAAACATCTCGTATGGGGATGAGCTCTTCTCGTTGGTGGGTTGAGCATTGTATATGTTGGTAGTTTGAATCAGTGATTCAGCCCACATAATAGTCGGTAGACGCGCATACTTCAGTTGTGTAAGCATTCTAGGGACCAGTGTACCATGGAGTCTCTCTACCTTGCCATGGTATTGTGGCGTGGCCGTAGGTGCGTACCTCGAGCAGTATCCCAAATACGCAGGCATGCGCCACGTTACGTTCGCTGTAAACTGTGAGCCTCGATCCATTTGTATGCACTGAACTCGGCGATGACTTAAGATGTACCATTCATCGAAGGTGTGTAACAATTGTTGTCGCTTTCAGATCGCGGATCGGATACTCTTTGGCCATGCTAGAAAAATCGTCTATGATTGATACAGAGTGGGTGTTGGATCCTATTGACGTAACGAACGGTCCTAATATGTCCACGAAGACTAACTTGAGAGGCTCTGTAGTAGGTTCGTGCTGTCGTTCCTTCTTTGTATTCTTGTTCTTCTTCTTAGCAATAGTGCATGCTTTGCATCGTTCCTCTGGTTGCCTTACGTAGGGTAAATCTTTTGGGACGTAGTTGGGGTGCGCGAGCCTGTTGTGCCATGAAATCTGACTGGCTTTCTCCAGCGATGGTTTCACTGTAGTCATAGCTATGTCGTCGATGTGCACACAGTATATTTTGTGTTTTTCATGTACTGTTATGGTTCCGAAGCTTGGTAGTAATATGTACATCATGTTGTTGGTGAATTCAAATGAGTAGTGTCGCGCTGAGAGTAGGCTGATACTTAGTGGTGCAGTTTTAAATGTCGTATCAATGAGTACGTCCCCCAAGTTTCCTAGCTAAGCCACATACTTCGGATAAATGATTGTACCATCAGCTACTTCGAGCGCATACCGGTCATTAATGCGCATGTTGCTGACGAGATGATGTTTGTGGTACTTCTAGGGAAGTACGTGTATGGTGGCGCAACTATCGCAAGCTAGTCAGTATCCACCTCTGGAATCTCTATCTGACTGATCATTCACCTCCTTGTTGTCGATTGTAGGGTTAATTGTGGAGAATGCAATCTGTCTGTTTGCAGGTAACTGATCATCAGATACTTGTGCTGACATAGTTTTGTCCTGTCTGCCTTCATGAGCTTGGCGTCGATTGGTCTGGGATCTATATGTTCTGTCAATGTCTTGTGAATGTTGGATATCTCGTGAATATCTACCATCGTCATAGTCGCGTCGATTGTACCTATCTACTCGGTAGTCCTGTCGGTCCTGATCATTGTGATTATCGTAGCGGTATTGTTAGCTGTTGTTTCTGTTGTACTGTTCCACACGAGTACGGTAGTCACGATTCGAATCAGGTCGGCGATGCTTGTCATTGTTCTTGGACTTAAATCTGTAGTCTCTCATGTCATGACGAGGACCAGATTTGTCAATCCGTCGATCGTAACGTTTACGACCGTCGTGGTCACGACCCTGATTATGTGGGTTACCAGCAACGCATGATTTGATTAGAGCTTGTAGCTTACGGCATTGCCCGATGGAATGCCCACGATTATTGCAGAATGCACAATTTCCTGTCGATATAGCTGCATGCGCACCGTGCATAATGGTTGATGGGTCACTTTCATCTGGATCCAAAGCGATGAGGTACGTGGTGAGCTCATCATACGACATGGCCATCATAGCGGGTGTCTTCAACGTAATCTTAACAGTATGATTATCGTCGTTTACAGCCTGCCGTAGAATAGCGCATAGGCTGTTGTTGGATTTCGTACCTCCGGCGTTTTTGAATTTCACAAATGCCGTGTTGAGACGACTGATAAGGCTGGCGTAAGATTCGTTCCGTTCTTGCGTGATGCGGTTCAGTTTTCCTTCTAATGTCTGGATATCATCTTCGGTCAGGGCTTCAAACTTACGTTTCAGTGCGGCAAAAGCTTCCCACGGCTTATCAATGAATTGGCTGATCTCCGTTTGTAGCAGTGGAGATAAGGTGCGGTTGATAATCAGATATGCCTCAGCGATTTCCTTGGGTGTCCATCGGTTGCCTCTAGATGGGGTTGGATCGGTCAATATTGTTGGGATTCCTTCACAATTCACTGATAGAAATGTCTTTGTGCATTTTCTATATCATTGTTTTACTACAGATATCGGTCACTAGATTCGAACACTAAAGGTGGGTGGTAATTATCACTCGGACAACAAACAAAAGTGTATGGGATTTCAGAGCGGACAATGCTCTCAGACAAAGAGTCGAATTAAAACAATTTGAAAGAAATGCTTTCGAAGACGAGACGTTGTCATCAAAGCAGTTTTAGCAGTATGAATGTGGTTGATTGAGTGTGCTGAAATTAACACCAAAATTTATCAATGTTTGTATAGGAAGTATTAGGGTTAATGAATGAGATCGAATATTCGAAAGGCCACCGCCTTGGACTCTAATTAGACCGGGAAGAGTTAATAATTTTTTTATGACTGCGGTATCATTAGTCATAGAAACATGTGCTTTTCCTCGATAGCTGTGTTCCCTGATAAGACATATAAGCAAGCAATGATGGACATAAACCTCCGACCAGAGGATGTTTATTACATTGTTTAACTTATTATATAAAGAAAATAAAGTACAACATTTGTAATGTCCAGGGAAATCTCAAATAAAGGCTAAAGTATTCCTGTGAATATCATATACCCATAGTACTATTGGACCCACAAATCCTCATCGATTATTTTGGGATAAAACATATAGCCTATAGAATTTTATTGTTTAACAGTTTTGATTTTTCAATTGAGCGGCTCTTTCTGTGTAAAGTACAACTGGATTATCATAATATCGATCACAAAACTGATGACAACAGGCTTCTGAAATATCTCACTGCTGATGCATAGTGGTTCATATGATACGCTCTAGTTTTGTCTCTGGCTTTCTTCAACTTCATTTATAACTCACTAGACACTTTCAATAAATAGAATTCCAGTAGAATGTACAAAACAGAATCATGTAGGTGTATCTCACGACGCATATAAGAACCCTACGTTCAAGTTGGGCTTTTGTGTCAATTGGTACAATAACTCGGCCATATGTAAACCCAAAGCCCTGGGCGTGGCGTACACGATTAACAAAACAACTGAATGATAATATATATATAGGCGAGGGCGGGAAGGGGGAGAGGGGGTGTGACCAAAAAACCCAAATAAAACCCAAGTTAGGGTAATCAGAAAACGTACCGTCGGACCCCAGTAAACGTATGTTACTATTAACTACCCCGCAAGGGTAGTGGATAGTGGGGT